AGCATTAAAGGTTTAGAACTTAATGATAAATTTTCATACATTTTTACCCATTTTTATAGAGGTACATAGATCCTTTAGAACAATCAAAGTATTATTTTTTAAATATAAATGGCCTATATATTAAATTAGGGTACAACAATTTATGGTATATTATTAACTCTATGTGACATATATCTGTATATTTTTAATACCCTCAAGCATAATTTCTTGCTGATCTGCAATAACTATATTTTTAACTATGATTTTTATATCAAATTATAGGTATTTTTATATTTTAAATTATAGTTACCAAAAAGTTAGTCGCAAAATTGTTCGCATATCATAGGAAAAGTTGATGTCAATCGTATTAATGAAAATACAAATTTTTAATAACCACATTTATACATTGAAGTATGCTTTATATGCTGAAATTAATAATTCAGAATAATTCAGATTCAGGTGTACATAAAATGTTTAAAGCTGTAGAGATGTCCTGTGGTACACTCTACAATAGCCTTCCATTAAGTAATAAAGAATGTAATTGATTCGAAACTAGGAAATGTAGTTAAAAAATGAAAGACTGGAACATTAATAACAAAATACCATACTAATATACAAGGACAGATATAGTAAGCTCCTTTTTGGCCAAACAAAGAGACCATTATTTTTTAATAATATTATTTCTTGTTAAAAATCTAAAAAGACAAGAATAACATTTTCTTATACATTTGAACATAACAAGAAACATTTAACTTTACTTTTCTTGTAACAAGGAGCTTACTAAACAATGTATACAATAAATTAATATTTATTTATTGTATACTTTGTGCGTTTCATTTCCGTCCTGAAACATTATTTATCGCATTAAACCAAGAAATTAAAAGCTATAACATATCACAGCGTGCAGACACTTAAAAGAAAGGAAAATACGTGTCAGTGAAAATATATATCTATGCTAAATTCAGATTATATTACTATTTCAATTGCTGTTGAAATAATGTGCTACGATAAATACATTAATAAAAAGGTGAATAAGTGATAGCTATAATTAGGATATTTGTAAAGAGTCTCAAAAACCGTTCTAAGTGGAATTTATAAAACATGCTTTCTTGTATTTTTGAAATATTTGATTTTAAGGGAGCTTTTATAACATTCTTAGCTCTTTAGAAATATCCTATCTACACGCAAGAGCATACGGAATAATATCTCCTGTTTCTTTAAAGCCAAATTTGCGAACGATTTGTATTAGTTATTATTATATCTTTATATTTGATGCTCTGTTCAACATTCCTCTTCTGTAATTCTTTGCTTGAAGCAATAACAGTAAGAGGAGTAATAAAAGTGCTCATACATTAACATGTTTTTTAGACATATTGCCAGTTTTAAGCGCATAGTTAGAACTTGTCTATTTGTCATTGAATTTTAGTGCTACTACATATTTTATGATGAATCGTTGCGCTTGTTGCGTTATGTTTGAATTTTGTAATAATATGAGCATGGATTTATGGTTATTTTATGACATATATATGATACAGAGTATATTTGATCACATTTAAGATGTTAGCTGTTCGAATGCCAATAATTCTATGCAATTAATTTGGCAACTCTATGTAGCGCTAAATGAAAGAAAAGGTTAAGAGACAAAAATTGAGATGTCTAGTTTTACAAGGCTCGAGTTTCAATATATTTTTGAATAGTAGAAAAAAATACTGGTAAGAATGAAGCAACAGTAAAAAATAGTGATATATTTAATGCAGGAAGGGAAAAACTTAAAGATAAGGTTCTTGAATAATATTTCTCGATATGGTTTTTTTTCCTCATTAGACGGATATTCACGGAACAATTTGAAAACTTGTATTCATGTTGTAAATAATAAACATAAAAGTGATAGTCATGTTATACTCTTTATTTATATCTTTAAACGTTAGACCTAAGTGCCTTTATTGTATTTCAATGCAAAGGAATTTTTTTATATATTCAACCTAATGGAACTAAATACATATCTGCTCACTAATCTTAGTTCAGTATTGGTGTAAAAATTCAATGTGATCTTTTTCTATTAAAGTCTATAGTAATAATTGTTATAGTCATATTTTTCATTTTAAGGTGTCTCCCATTCCTTTTATACCAGCAGCTATAATAATTTTTTTATACGTTTTTAGATAATACTTTTTTTCATTTATTTAAAATCAAAACTACCTTTTGTACTAACGTTTTAAATTGTAGGTGAAAAAACAATCTGTAAAAAGTTACAATTTGTATTTATTTTCAGGTAATTAGTGAAAATATAATACCCATTGAACACTTTGATTTACAACATTAAATGTGTTAGGCTAATAACAGATTTGTATTTTCTAATACACACGCATACACACGCAATTAAAATGGTATCTTAAATGCTATTTAATACTTAAATTACCAAAATAAGAAATAAATCGAGTAGGAAATATTACACTTATTAAATGTCCAAGTGGCATTTTAAATAATATTAATACTGTTTAATTACATAGTATACAAACTGGTTTCTTCTTTTTTTTCTTGACAAATTATTTTCAGTTTTAAGTAGCACCTTCTTTTGACAAGACACATTTATTTTATATGTAGCAGTACTCTCTAAGATAAACAAAATTCAAGATGTATAAAATTTATAAAGTTACAAATTTCTTTCAACACTTTTACAATGTGTTGTGCTTTCATGTTTCCTTACATTTAACTTTTCGCTATTTTATCTTATTTTACTTTATACATAAACGTTTACTATCATGTAAATCAATTTTCAGCTGCAGAAAATATATTAATAAATGATTTCAAAAATCTTAAAACTATAACTAACATTGATAATGATTGTATATTTTAAACGAATTTAAAAAATATTTGCTTTATTGCAATAAAAAGAAAGAAAAGTATCATCCGTCTCTGTAAATAGTTTAAATATTTAATACGCTCTGTATTGCTGAAATGTTGAATTCAACACATCAAGATTTACTTAACAAAATTTATCTTTTATGTTTCATATAATCCTCCAATGTATAGAACTCTGAAAGCGCAATTAATATTATGCAAAGGCACAACATTAAAATCGTTTTCTCAATGTTTCAATAAATTCATTCTATACCATGTATGAGTATCGACATATCTTTGGTATCCTCCTACATACGAAAATTACATTAGTAACCATTTTCAAAAATAATTAATCACATATGTGAATATTATGATAATGATAGAATGGACATGTTGACATAATAAGTTATATGTAAAATTAATGTGTTTGATATGTATTTTGAATGATATTTTTAGATAATAATTGATAGAATGTTATATAAAGAGATCATTGTGCAGAATTTAGCAACTATACTTCTGCAATGTGCTCTTATTTAAAATTCCTTATCAAATGAAATTTCACAATAAAAGCTATACACAATTTTTCTCACGTAAATACGAAGATATTTGTGGAATTATTACATAGAACAAAACATCTTTGTGTGAAAGTGATTGGTTACATTTATACTGTTTTAAAGAACAAATATGGTTTTTACCTTATTTTTTAAACTCACGTTACACTTGTATAATTCTTACATTAGCAGCAAGTGCTTGAACTATCCGAGTAAGTACGTGTAACATAAAACAAAAAATTAAATGTATACTCTTTACATTTTTGATATGAAGATTTATGATTCCTTTAGGCAGTAAAATGTGCAGTGTATTAATATTATTACTGTATACTTAATAGGTTACGCTTGAGCATATAAAGTACCGTTTATGTAAAAATACGTCCGTGACAATACCAAAACGTGAACTTATAAGAAATCGGATATTTTAACAAGTACAGTTTAAAAGTCTTTTATGATAATGAATAAAAAAGAAACAGATCAAATAGTCGTGAAATATTAATAACAAATTTCATCATATATAATGTCTTCTTAAAATTGCAGCTTTACCACAAATGTTACTTATCACTCAGCGTATGTGGTACAAATTCTAATATATAGCATTAATAACGATAGGATTGTAGTTATATCAGTGTTTGAATTGTATCAATTGTAATACGCTTAGCCTTTAAAAATGTTTCCCATATATAAGAAAAATGAACACACGATTTATATTGATTATACTTAGGTCAGGTTTGAATAGATACGTTTGTAAAAAAAATCATTGCAATCTGTTGATTGTCCATTGCAAATCCTTCTATCTGATGTAGCGTATCATTCACAGATGTACAGTAATTTTTACATTCAATTAAGTGTTATATTATTCACAGGCTAACTTACTATCAAAACTGCTTAAAGCAATAGCAAATGCTTGAAGCGTGCACAATGGAAATCTGTAATCCATTGTGAAAACGTCTTCCGCCACACGTCCAAATTGCATAACAACGTAATCAACTGGAATAGAATAGTAGGAAATAATTTCCGAGATTTAACAGTTACTTCTTTAAGTAACAAATATAAAACACAGACCATCGCTATCGTGTACCACTTGAAAATTCTTCACAGAAGCTTGCGTTACACGTCCATGGAAATTAAGTACATATGATTGTGAGTCGTCATTCCAAACAGGAGTCTTATTATGTAATTCTATTAAATTGTCCATATTTTTTGTTTTCCATCGTTCTGAAGAAAGAAAAAGAATAATAAAAATAGTATGACAGCAATACTTATATTAAATACATTTTATACTTACCAAGTAATGTTTCTGAATCATCTCGCGGACAAATTTCAACTCTTTTCTGATCTGATGTCATTCCAGGAATAATGACAGTCATTTTACGTGGTCCTTTAAATCCTAAAACGTTGGTGTCGTATATCACTGCGGCTAACTCTTGTCGTGGATTAAAACGATCGTCTCGCTTGTCGTCTTTCATCAGCGAATACCCATTATCGTAAACGGTAAATTGCGTACCCAGAAGATTCGATCTTAATTTTCCAATATAGGATTCTCCTGCTCTTGAAAGATCCGTGGGATCCGTAGAAATTAAATAATTGCTTGTTGTACTTTTTTTTCTCTTACGGCCAGCCAATAAGAAAATCTACATATAAAAAGTAAAATGACATTTTCCATTTTGAAATGTCGAAAGATCATTTAAATTGAACACGTACCTTTTTACCGTAATCACGTTCTAAGTGTAAAAAATAAGTCGGATACAGACCACGATCCATACCTTTTCTATCACGCGTTATTCTACATTTGTAATGCATTTTTTTATTCGCTGGTTGCAATACAAAATGCTCGATATTTCCTTCCACGTTTCCCTCTAATTCTGGACTCTAAATGAATAACAGACATTTTTGTTGTTTTTAAATTATTAGTTATTATTTTACTGTAATGTGATTATCTTTTACTTACTGAGGAATTATTTTCTCTACTGATAAGCAAGTTAGCACCATCTGATGGAGCTACTCTAAGGGGTGAAGGACATGGTATAGATTCTGCAGGTGAATGAATGTCTATAGGTGATGATTCTTCATCTGCACAGTCAGTAGCTTCCATGGTTTTGAAAATGTATTTAGATCAGGATTTGTTTGTGATATATTAAACTGTAACGGCCCATCGTATCCTACAATGAAACAAATTTGTAATGCATGTATTTTAATGCACTTATTTTTTATAATTTATTAAATTTACCTCGAATCTCTTTATTTGGATTCATCCATTTTGTAGAATGACTTGTAAGCTGAGTAGTCGATATGTTGGATGCCTGTACCATTCCACCAGCACCACTTTGTCTTTTTTGTTTCATCTTTTGTGCAATTAATTGTCTCTATAATTAAGTAGAAAATTTTTTTATAAAACCAAAAAATGTAATAACTTATTGATGAAAACTGTTAATAATTAGCTGTTGTATTAAAAAAGTTGAAATATTTCTTCTTTACACATTTGTTACAAACTGCAACCCATTTAAACAATAGTTTTTTTAAATAATTCTCATGAGTACTTGTAATTTTCGTGCGTTTATCTTACAAAATTTATTATAACAAAAGGAAAGTTATTTTTTATTGCTTCGTATAAATTTAAATATTTAAATGACCTACTTTCTAATTTCATGTGCGCGTATATAGTATTCGTAATTTATTTAAAAATTTTAATAGAGAAATAATACAATTGTTCTGTTAGTATAACACAATATATATACATATATACAAAACGCTGGTATTTTAAAGTACTAAATCTATAAACTACACGATTGCGATTTAAAAGAAAATCGAACATTGCAAAATAATTGTACGTAAAAACATTTAAAATTATTCTATGCGTACCTGTTGTTCGAGCTTTTGTTGTCTTAAATCCAGAGATGTCATATTGTCGATATGTATTAACGAGAGCTGTCATATGCAATTGATTTTCAGCGAATAATTCAGCTTGTCAGAAAACCAGTTTGTTTACTCCAAACATATTTCGTCGCCCGTGGCTACCTAGGCAACCATACGATGGAAAACCCTAATATATTTTCAAGGTGTAATTACCCTAGACGAAAATTTCGTTTGTAATACCAAATTTAATGAAAAATTTTATCGAATTTTACAATTAATAATTGAGTTAAAGTTAAGATCAATTTTGTTTCAAATTGCAATAACTCTTACTTAAAAAGTTACTGGGTTTAATAAACATTCAAAATTTAAGTATAGTCGCTGGAAGAAATATGTATAGCGAGGTCGTAAATTAAAGCACTAACTGACGCAGTGCCAGTTTATTTTTCTAAATTAAAGTTAAGGCATACTTTATGAGGCCCTAATCTCAAGGTTTTTGGCACTTATTTGTTCAGATATGTACCGATTTACTTATTGATATGCTCAGTATGTAAACTGTAACGTCTAACCGACCTTGTTCTATTTCTTCCACCGATTATACTTTTCCAAATTACTCGAGATGTTCTGAAAATACGATGGATAGAGTTGAATATCTCAGGAACGGTGAGTTTTAGGATAAATGTTCTTCAGTACTTTTATACTCAAAATTCGCTATTCTATCGAATTTGGCCTTAAAAATTTGGATATTTCATTTTAACAAACAAAATTTACTTCCAAATCACCTTTACGTTTCCGCTCTCAAAGAAACTATTGCCACCATGTTATATCTTTCATGTAACGGTATAACTTTAAGTAATATTTTCGCTTATTTCTTGAAATAATGGAAATATTTGGGGTGGATATTAGGTTGAGTATCGAAAATATTATACACATATTGAAACATTCATATTAAAAATCACATTGCTAGTAATTTAAAAAAAAGTAATATTATGATTATAGTGTATACTAGTGCCATCAATAAGAACATATTCGAAATTGTTGTCAGTAATATAATACTTCCTATGGTAGAGTAAAACATGTAACCTGTAAATAATTATTATATGTTATAAGGATTATCTAAATGTTTATATGTCACTTATCTTTTACTAAAGTGACAATTTATTGCAAGCAGTTAAGAAAAACAACAATGTCCAGTTCTCGTGTTGATGACTTGATTAGTTACTTTAAGTCTCACAACAAAATTAGGGAACAACAAAGTCATTCTGCTAAAGTACATAGCGTAGGATGGAGTTGCGACGGAAAACTCTTGGCTTCAGGTTCTTTTGATAAATCTGTGTGCATTTTTTCCCTTGGACCGGATCGCTTGGTAAATAAACATAACCATAATGCCAGTTTTTCCTATTCTTATACTATGCCGCGGGAATTTTCATATAAAACTTCATTTTGTTAGATGTTTATCTATTATTTTACTTAAGATTTAGATTTAGATTATTTAACTAAAGATTTGTTATTATTTGAGGTTATAACTTCACGTTTTACATGTTAATTTATATTCATATGATAAAAAAGTTTTAATGTCCTCAATGATTTTTAAAATATGTATTCAGAATTTTATTACTACGATTTTTAGTAATTTCTAAATTTATTATTGCAGAAACAAGAAACAACTTTTAGAGGGCATGGTGGTAGTGTGGACCAACTGTGTTGGCATGCCTTTTATCCAGAATTATTATCCACTGCAAGTGGAGACAAAACAGTTCGTATTTGGGATACTAGAACTCAGAAATGCACAGCAAATATCAGCACAAGAGGTGAAAATATCAATATATCATGGTCACCTGATGGCAATACAATAGCAGTAGGAAATAAGGAAGACCTGGTGACTTTCATTGATGCACGAGTGATGAAGATTCGTGCAGAAGAGCAATTCAACTTTGAAGTGAATGAAATTTCATGGAATAAGGATTCTGATACATTTTATCTTACCAATGGTCAAGGCTGTGTACATATCCTTAGTTATCCAGATTTAGAGTTGTTACATGTAATTAAAGCTCATCCAGGAACTTGTATTTGTATAGAATTTGATCCTACTGGAAGGTACTTTGCAACTGGTTCTGCAGATGCATTAGTTTCCTTATGGGATGCAGATGAACTGTGTTGTTTAAGAACATTCTCAAGATTAGAATGGCCAGTAAGAACTATATCATTTTCTTATGATGGGCAGCTGTTAGCTGCAGCATCCGAAGATCTCGTTATAGATATAGGTGAAGTTGAGACTGGAGAAAAGATTGCAGATATACCTGTAGAAGCAGCAACTTTCACAGTTGCATGGCATCCAAAACAATACTTATTAGCATATGCTTGTGATGACAAAGATACTTATGACAGGAAACGTGATGCTGGCAGTCTAAAAGTATATGGATTTGCCAATGATTGAAACATTATTTTTAGACTTTTATATTAAAATATATTATTGTATAAAAAGAACTGTAAAATTTGATCTGTACCCCTTT